ATTGAATTTTCAAGTTTATTATATTTCAATGGCAATTAATCAAATGTTCTAGATATTTCTAGTTATGCGTCAGTCTAGATCCTGTGCTTTAGATCTTACTGAAGACATCTAAGCTCATGATTGATAGCTGATGTTCTGATGGAAACCCCAGCCGTCTGTGTTTAAATGTTTTTTATTCATAATAGAGTTTGTCAGCAAATGTTCGGCTGTGTTTGGTGACGCGTGTCAGTCGTGTTGGTGCTTCTTCCTCTCAGGTGAAGGACACTGTGGCACAGCACACTAAAGAGTGGTCAGAGATGATCAACTGTCACAGCACAGAGGAACAAGAAATGAAGGACGCTCATGTGACGCAGCAGTGTGAGCTCCTCAGGAAGCTGCTGGCCAGCGTTCAGGAGCAGCAAACACTGCAGCTCAAGCTCATCCACGAGCGGTGAGAGACACGACCGACACACACGCGTTCACTGCACGCTCAGCTACCAACACTATCATCACCATCACTATCATCACTACCATCACTATTAACACTATCATCACCATCACTACCATCAATAATCAGTCATCACTACAATCACTGTTATCATTATAATCAGTATCATCTTTACCATCACTATAATCACTACCATCACTATCATCATTACCATCACTACTAAAACTATCGTCACTACCATCACTATCATCATTGCCATCACTACTAGCACTATCATCACCATCACTACCATCATTACCATCACTACTAGCACCATCACTACCATCACTAAACACTGTCATCACTACAATTACTATCATTACTATTATCACTATAATCACTATCATCATTACCATCACTACTAACACTATCATCACTAATCAGTCATCACTACAATCACTACCAACACTATTATCACTATCATCACTACTAAAACTATCGTCACTACCATCACTATCATCATTGCCATCACTACTAGCACTATCATCACCATCACTACCATCACTAAACACTGTCATCACTACAATTACTATCATTACTATTATCACTATAATCACTATCATCATTACCATCACTACTAACACTATCATCACCATCACTACCATCACTAATCAGTCATCACTACAATTACTGTCATCACTATCATCACTATAATCACTACCAACACTATTATCACTATCATCACTACTAATACTATCATCATCATTACCATCACTACTAACACTATCATCACCATCACTACCATCACTAAACACTGTCATCACTACAATTACTATCATTACTATTATCACTATAATCACTATCATCATTACCATCACTATAATCACTACAGACACAATCGTCACTATCATCACTACCAATCACTATCATCATTACCATCACTATAATCACTACAGACACAATCGTCACTATCATCACTACCAATCACTATCATCATTACCATCACTAATCAGTCATCACTACAATCACTGTTATCATTATAATCAGTATCATCTTTACCATCACTATAATCACTACCATCACTATCATCATTACCATCACTATAATCACTACAGACACAATCGTCACTATCATCACTACCAATCACTATCATCATTACCATCACTATAATCACTACAGACACAATCGTCACTATCATCACTACCAATCACTATCATCATTACCATCACTAATCAGTCATCACTACAATCACTGTTATCATTATAATCAGTATCATCTTTACCATCACTATAATCACTACCATCACTATCATCATTACCATCACTACTAAAACTATCGTCACTACCATCACTATCATCATTGCCATCACTACTAGCACTATCATCACCATCACTACCATCACTAAACACTGTCATCACTACAATTACTATCATTACTATTATCACTATAATCACTATCATCATTACCATCACTACTAACACTATCATCACTAATCAGTCATCACTACAATCACTATCGTCACTATTATCACTATAATCACTATCATCATTACCATCACTACTAACACTATCATCACTAATCAGTCATCACTACAATTACTGTCATCACTATCATCACTATAATCACTACCAACACTATTATCACTATCATCACTACTAAAACTATCGTCACTACCATCACTATCATCATTGCCATCACTACTAGCACTATCATCACCATCACTACCATCAATAATCAGTCATCACTACAATCACTGTTATCATTATAATCAGTATCATCTTTACCATCACTATAATCACTACCATCACTATCATCATTACCATCACTACTAAAACTATCGTCACTACCATCACTATCATCATTGCCATCACTACTAGCACTATCATCACCATCACTACCATCAATAATCAGTCATCACTACAATCACTGTTATCATTATAATCAGTATCATCTTTACCATCACTATAATCACTACCATCACTATCATCATTACCATCACTATAATCACTACAGACACAATCGTCACTATCATCACTACCAATCACTATCATCATTACCATCACTATAATCACTACAGACACAATCGTCACTATCATCACTACCAATCACTATCATCATTACCATCACTATAATCACTACAGACACAATCGTCACTATCATCACTACCAATCACTATCATCATTACCATCACTAATCAGTCATCACTACAATCACTATTATCACTATAATCACTATCAT